TAATATTTTGAATTTTAAATGTCAATTTGACAATAAATGGTTACCATACTCCTTTAATTTTACTATATATATATATCTTTCTTCTTCTAAAAGATAAAACAAGGAATCTAGCTCAATAAATAACACGAACAAAAAAATTAATGAGAAATTACTATAAAAATAATAAGCATTCGAATTATGTATAGAAACAATTCATACTCTATAATTTCTTATTCTTTTATTTATGTTATTATTTGTTGTTGTTTAGAATGATTTGACTTGTTTCCTATAGAATTTTGTCATCATTTCTTCATTTATGTTATTATTTTTCCATATTGCTTTGAATAGTTTTGTTAAAAAATAAAAAGTTTATCAAAATAAATTTATGTATATTCAAAATAAGGATAAAATTTACGTATATTATACTCTTTTCAGATTATGAGATTAATTAATTACACTGAATACGTAGTTGATGGATGTGATTGATTATTTTAAATTTTTGAGTTTGACATGAATTATGTGCAAGAATAAGAAAAGTTTTGTTGTCTTAACGTATGCATGAAGAGTTGACATTCTATTATTTTCAAGTCATTGTAAAGAATATTTTAATTCATTTCTTTAATTATTTTTTCTGATAAAAAATACTACGAATTCTTCATGAATGATGATTGATGAAGACATATTACCTAGATATTTAGTAGGCAATTAAATACTCATTAATTTAGTTTAAAATCGGTACTACTTACTAGCATGTAGATATTGAAAATTTGTAAAATTATATAAACACGGTGATATGTATATTTTAATATTTATAATATACTGATATATCTATTTGTTCAATTTTACAAGTCATAACTCATATTTCTTTGATCTTGCTTTTTTTTTTAAAAAAAAAATATAATATTCAACTCTAAGGGGGCAATAGATTTTCTTTTTAATAATTATGAGTTTATGAATTACTAAAATTTATGATTATTTATATCATCCACATGAATATATATAGGTATGAAAAAATATATTTAGAAATTGTGCTTTAAATATTAGTTTTACGATATTATGCTTGCCGACCATCAAGCTTAAAAAATTGATGTAACTACTTCTAGCTAGTTTTCTAACTTACCATAGTAATAACGAATAATTAATCTGAGAGGATGATTAGTCACACGATAAAATCTAATATAGAGGCCTATATGGCTATATCAAATGCAAACTTTAGAGTGGGAAAAAAAATTACTTCTTTTTTCCATGGTGTGGCCCTCCCAATTTTTAGTCAATATGTCTAATATTAGTAGGTGATAAAAATGATAAAAAAAACTAGTTGGAGTTAAAGGACTATAACAACAATCTTTATAGTATCATTCCATTAATTTATAAGTTGTATATTTGTTCAATATTTTTAATGTGTTTGGCTCCTTTATTTCAAGGTAAAAGAAAATAGAATAAAAGTGTTTTGTTTATAGTTACTTGGTACGTAGAATGAATTGGATTAATCAGTTTAGATTCGTGCGTAGTAAAGTTCATTTAAAGAAAAAAGATTATTGAAACAGATTTGACAAAGCATATTCAAATTTTAATTACTTTGAAATTTTTTACTTTCAACCCTTTTGCATATGAATATTCACAAAATTTTAAATTATTAATAGTTTTATCTTTAATTACTCTTTTATTATGTGAAATTTGTTTTGTTGAAGGTTAAATGAAAAGAGTTGTGATCTAATTTTCATAAGTTTGATCAAAATTAAATTATTAATAATTTATAACTTTTTTTTTTCAAAATTTGAAGCCAATACCTTTATTTTAATTATTTGAAATAGTAACTTTTGAACATTGGAGGACATATTGTACGTATTTCAATAATTTAATTGTTCATAAGAATTATTAATTTATTAAATATTCATTATGACATGTGAGTGGCATAAATATTAGTTAAAGGTACTTAAATAGCATAATTTAATTTCCCTGACCAGTCTAACCAAATAATACTTGCTTATTCAATTAATAATAAAAACAAATTAAGTTCATTCACTACAAAATAGAAACAAACCAGACCCCTACACCTCGTAAATTAAAATAATTAATAATATTTGTTAAAATTGTAAATCATAACATTATTATAAAAGATTTCATGTTAAATATCTAGATTTTCTTTTTTTTATATACGTGATAAAACTGAAAAACAAAACACATTCTTACATCCGATCATCTCTTTTTTTAAAAAATAAAATAAATTAAAGTCGTAGACTTGTAAAGACGGGTTAATTAAATATTATTAGACAAGCGACTTCGTTCCTTGACTTCTCCTATCGATTTTTTTTTTTTGATAAATATTTCATTTTGGGGGAGGGAGGGGGGGGGGGGGGTTGGTTTGTGGGCCTTAATTATTGGGCCTTCTAGCACAATGGGCCATATGATATTGGGCTTCTGAATTACTCCATAATCCATATATGAGATAGTTCCAATTTCCATCATATAATTGCGTATCTCGATGCTCTAAGTTTGGAAAAAGATCGAATCATAAGAATATATTATATGCAACCTACTTTGCACATTTCTAAGGGTTATTATTATTTTCGCAGTTTGAATTCATGACCTTCTGATTATATTTTTCGTTCAAAAACGAAAAATTATCTCTCACGAATACATAAACAAAACACGTAAAATAACATTTAATCCATCCATCTTTACTAGCTACTAAATTAAAAAACAATTATTCAGTTTGAAAAATGAAAAGATAAATGAAAATTGGTATCGAAAGAAGGAAAAAGGGAACATTTAGATTTAGACATAATATAGTGTACTATATGGCCTTCAATGTAACAGGTAGATGTTAACATTCATGATGTAATTAATATTGGTCCACCTCCCATCCATTTATTTAAAAATCGAATACTTAATATTCTCTCTGTTTTAATTTACGTGATATTTTTTAGATTTAGAGATTTAAATAAGTCTATTTTTATCGTAATTTTTTCATATATCTTTTAATTATTTTGAATTGTCAATTATTGTAACTTATAATACTTTTGACGTAGTTTACAAATATATATAAATTTCATTTTAAGAAAAATTGAAGATTTCACGCGCAAAATTCAGTCAAACTTAAACTGTTTGACTCTCGAATATGAAAAGTGTCACATAAATTGGGACAAAGGAAGTACTAGATAAGCAAGATTCATGTAGCTGCTGTGATGTATCTCATATATACGAGCAAGATAAGAGAGTGACAAATGGGATGGGAGAGAGGCGAGGGCGCGGTATTTGTCGATATATTTTAAATACATATGAATCTTTTTGGATAGAGTGTATCTAGAACAAATGAACGTAAATTTGAGTTCACATATCCTGAGATACATGTATCAAAATGTACAAAATCTGGTAAGATTCATAATATTACCACATAATGTGCATTTAATAATTTGCTCATATGCTAGAGAGATCATTGTGAGTTAACCTTAAATAAACAGTTTTAGCCCATAGGTCAACCCCGCCCCTGCCCCTGAACAAGTCTTAAGGGCTTAGGGCTTATATGAATTGGACTTAGTCTTAATGGAATTGATAAATCCTATTCTACTCCTACCGCAAAAACGAATTGAATTGAATCAGACTCATAGACTAAATCCATTTTGATGACTCTAATTATCAATATTATTAAAAAATTTATATCATCAAGTTAATTTTACTTTCTATAATAGGTTTATTTATAAGATTATAAAATTTATATTTTAAATTTTTCTTTCATTTAAATATTATAAATGATTTGGTAATATAAAAATATATTTTGGCTCCTTGACAAATAATTGTTTATTGGATCACCACATAGCAATTTCCTATGATTTGTTTGGATTTTGGAGCATTAATTATTTGTCTTTGTTTTCCCCAATGTGAACTAATTATCCACTTCTTGTTGTCATCCATTTTTTAAAAGTATTTTTCTTTTTTTTGTGGTGGGGTTTGTTGAATAATATAAAAAGGGGTAGGAAACTAAATCATGGATCCATAGTGCTAATCTTTTTTTGTTATTTTTTTTTATTTCTTTAAAATTTATAAGTTATTGCAAAATATATATTTTCTTTTTAAAAAAATTTAAAAAATATATTATCTCTTCTATTTCATATTTTATCTTTCTTTACCAAAAAAATATTTAAAAAATAAGAAGATGAAATGAATTCAATAGAGAAATCAATAGGTAACAAGTTGAGCATAGTAATAATAATAATAATAATAGCAATAATAATGTAAATTTATAAATAAAATATTAAATAAATAATATAGAACGAATAAAAACATTACCCTACTATGGATGCTCTGACACCCAATGAGGTTGCCGAAATAAAATTATTTCAATTGATCCTCAACTTAGAATAAAGAATAATATTTATATTTTAATTAAATTAAAAAATACATATTTCAATATCATCGTAAAAATATAAATAACTAAGTCAATATTTTTTATCCTTAATTAAAAAAATCGATTTTAAATTTTAAATGTGAATTACTTTTATCAAAAAATCTTAAATATACAAGTCGACTTTAATTTTTTCGACTTCAAAATATATAATGCTAAATATTAATTTTCGAGCGAAATTCAGATTAATCAAACTCAAAAAAGGAAAAAAGAATATGTTTTAATATTAGCCACTCTATCGTCTTCTTCCCCAAAACCCAAAATCACAGAAACTATACAGAAGACCGAAAAAAAAATTCAATTCGATCGGACGAATACGGCAATTTCGAGCGGACACGTCAGCAGACGTGGGTCCTGCTGCCACCCTGACATACCAGGAAGTGTAATGGTGAAGTGTGAACCGGAAACATCATTGTTGTAAAGTATTTTGTGGACTTTAGCAGGAAAATGAAGCTTCCTGTTATAATTGTAAGTTCATACTTCACTCATCCGCAACAATATTTTTGTTTGTTACTTTTATATATGAGTAGTTGATTCTATAAGAATTGCTATTATTAGCACAATTTCAATTTGTAGTTCAATTGGTAGAGCACCGGTAATTTCTTAACCTAGGGTTTTTTTCCGGGTTTTAAGGGGAATTTAGAATTTTGAGATAATGGGCTGCAATCTTTATGTTTTTACAATGAACCCAATTATGGTTTTCAAAATATAGTGTTTTTTTTTTCATCTGCTGGGGTGGAGCTAGGTGGGGCTGAGGGGTGGAAACTTTCATTGTTTATATATGGTTAACATTATTTCTTATGTATATGTAGTAGATATTAAACCCCTTTTGTTTTTTTCGTGTGTTTAGTTGGAGTTGGCTTATAGTTAAGTGTAAAGTTATGCTTATTTTTGTTGAGGTTAGTGGAATTCCCAGTTGTTGAGCTGATATATATATTGTTAGATGCAATTAGTATTTAAAGTTTGAATCTTTTAAAGTTTTGGTTGTAATTCATTTTGTTATATGAGGGTGTATTGTATTGCTTAAGCTGCAAGCTAGTGTGGTGTTGATAACTTGATGGGATTATCTGTTTCTTTTTTCTCCTTTTATCTCCCAATTTATTTATATATCATGATTGAGACTAGCTGATTCAACTATAATTGTTTAGCGTAATTTGATGCATCACTTACTCAGATTCTTTTCCCTATTCGGTTTAACTCTTTAGTTAACGTGTATCTTAGGGCTTATGTGTCTGGGTTTTTATCTTCCTAACTACTTGCTCATTGATAATAGGTTGATTGGTCGGGGTTAAGCAAAGCTAGTAACTGCTTAGTATAAAAATTTTCTTATGTTTGTTGATATCTAGAGGATTTCCCTATTCGTTGAGCTGATATAGATCTTTAGTAGCTGCAATTAGTATTCAAAGTTTGGATCTTTAAAATTTTGGTTGTAATTCATTTTGGTATAGGAGGATGTGTTGAACTGATTAAGCTGGAAAGTTGCGTTGCATTGATAACTTGATCGGAGTATCTGTTTGTCTGAAAGGTGAAGTGGGAAGATCTATAGGGATGATTTGGTTGGTTCTGTTGTTGTTATTATCACAAGGGAATGGGAAAGGAGGAGTGGAAGCTTCTGATTACTTAATTGGGCTTGGAAGCTATGATATAACTGGTCCGGCTGCTGATGTCAACATGATGGGATATGCTAACATGGAACAGATTGTGTCGGGTGTTCACTTCAGGTTGCGAGCTCGTACCTTCATTGTAGCTGAACCTCAAGGGAAGCGTGTTGTTTTCGTGAACCTTGATGCTTGCATGGCCTCACAGATTGTAACTATCAAAGTTCTTGAGAGATTGAAGGCTAGGTGCTCATACCTTCCTTAGTATGGTTAATTTATTTCCAACTGAATTTGTGAAGTATGACAAAATGCAAAAAGAACCTGTTATATTAACTGGATTTAGGCTCAATTTTGATGGTGTACTAAACCCAATTCCTATTTTGATTTCAAATTTTGTTTTAATTGCTTCTTTTCCAGGTATGGGAATCTTTACACCGAAAAAAATGTTGCTATTAGTGGCATTCACACCCATGCTGGCCCTGGTGGTTATCTACAATACGTAGTATATATCGTAACATCTCTTGGTTTTGTCCGTCAATCATTTGATGCTGTAGTTAATGGGATTGAGCAAAGTATTATACAAGCTCATGAAAACCTCCGACCTGGATCAATATTTGTCAATAAAGGTAGGTTGTTGATTTCTTCTGTATCTTTTGCTTGACAATGAGACATAGGATTGCAGCTTTTAGTTTTCTTCTATGTCCATCTGTCTTAGGTCTTAACAATTGCTCATCATGTGTCATTTTAATATTTGTTATGATGATTGGTGCCTGTCCTCTTAGAGCCTGTTTGGCTCAGCTTAAAAGCTGGTCAAACTGACTTAAAAGCTGTTTTTTGACTTATTTAACTGTTTGGCAATACTCAAAATAGCTTATTTTAAGTTTAAAAAAAACTTATTTTAAGCCAAAAGTTAAAAGCTGGGGTAGGGGTGTTTTTTTTTTTTTAGCTTATAAGCTGTTTTAAGTTACCACATTTTTATGTTTTTTTCCTTAATATTTTTATACAATCTTCAAATTACCCATATAACCCTAACATCTCTTTCTTCTATTTTTCCCAATTCACGTTTGGCATAACAACTTCAGCACTTTTATCCAAACGCATAACTGCTTATTTTAAAAATAAGTTTCAGCACTTTCAAAAGTACTTTTTTAAAGCTGCTTTTATTAAGCCCATCCAAACGGGCCCTTAGTTGCTTACTGTCTTCTGGTTGTGGTCTTATGAAACAGAGTGGCTAAGAAAAATATATTGGGTGAACTTATTTGTTACCTGCTAATCTTTAGACTTTTGCTTTGATCTTATTTGTCTGGACTTTGGGGTTTATTTATTTATCTATGATTGTTTGTTACTAGTATTACTTAATCAACTATTTTGAGTGGATGGGTTGGGTGCATTCGAGTAAATTGCTCAAGTACTGGCGTCTTTGCTTTTGCTTGTGTTCTTTTCAAGTTTCACTGCTGTAAAAAGGGAAAAGAACTATATATTCCACAGCAGAAACTTTGACAGATCTTGGATAATTAACAAGTTAATCTCAGCATTAGACTAATTGAATTTTGGCTGTCATCAACAGGGGAGCTACTGGATGCTGGTGTGAATCGTAGCCCTAGTGCTTATTTGAATAATCCTGCTGGAGAACGTGGTAAATATAAGTACAATGTTGACAAAGAAATGACCCTTCTAAAGTTTAGTGATGATGAATGGGGACCAGTAGGCAGCTTTAATTGGTTTGCAACTCATGGAACTTCTATGAGTCGAACTAACTCTTTGATTAGTGGGGACAACAAAGGAGCTGCTGCACGGTTTATGGAAGACTGGTATGATCAGAGAAATACTGAACCGTCAAAGTTTAATGTATCTAAAGCAAGTGAACTTCCCCGAAGAGTCTCAAACATCATACCATCTGTTCGTGGGAAGCGTAAGTGATTTTATCCTTTTCCATGTGATAAATTATCTTAGTAGAGCCAAAAGGATGATTTGTTACTAACTGTAGATTGTATCCCTCAGACAATTTTGCACCTTCTTGCTATTCTAGTCTCATTAGTGAAGTAATTAAACTCATTGTAAGCCGATTTAACTAATTTTACTGTAATTATCTACTTTTCTAGACTCCCAACCCCCACAGAGGTTCGGAGGAACAATTGTGGTGGTTTGAGAGATAGAAAGAGAGATATGGGGTACGTTTAGGTGATTGGGAGGGAATGTGTGGTTGAGGGAAGAGGTTGTAGCAGAAGGTCGGTGCCAAAACCTAGTAGGGTTAGTGAATCTAATGGATTTTGTTGGAAAAAAAAACTAGAATGAACATAAAGTCTTGTAAACATGTCGGTAGATTAATATAGGGACTAAATGTAGATATCGTCTGACTCACATCTACGAGAAATGGAAGGTTTTTTCCCCATTGTGTATGACTCTGATCAAGTAAATGCATCTGACTGTAAAAGTAAACATCATATACTATAATTACACTTTCCAAGATTGACTTTTTACCTATACATTGGAGTTAACACTCTGGTTGTTTGGATTGGAAGGCGAAAAGTTGAAACACAACGGGAAGGTTGTTTAGCTATTTCGTACCAAAAAGTTGGGAAATACTTCTGTGGTCTCAGCTTTCCCAAACAGTTATGTATTGAGTATGACTCCAAGGTGGTGTTTGTTCCCTGGACCTGGTCTGTGGACAAGGGCTAGTCTTTCTCATCTTGAGCTTCATGTAGTTGGTTAGCGGACCCAGGCAGTCTTTTCATAAAACACTAGATGCACATAAGGTACTGATTCAGTGGAAGCATAGACTGCATTATTCATCAATTATGAGTAAAGTATGGTAACATGTTCCAATTTCTAATCCATAGAATTCTTCTCTGGACCTTTCACTTTCTGTTTGGGATGAATAGAATGATGTAAATAAGAGATAGCTCAGAGGGCAGTAGGACTAGACTGCTGTTGAAAGTTGAGAATATTAATTGTTTCAATACCAAGGACACTCATTAATCAGATTGTAATTAAATGCAGATCATGAGCTACTAGAAATTGCTGCTTCTTTCCAGTCTTCTCCAGGTAAGCCAGTCACAAGGTTAATGAGCGTGGCCAGACGTGTCAGAAGTGCCTTAAGGTTGGCTGATCGGCCAAAATTTGTTTCTGCTTTTTGTCAATCCAACTGTGGTGATGTAAGTCCCAATGTGCTCGGTACATTCTGCATAGACACAGGGCTTCCTTGTGATTTCAATCATAGTACGTGCGGTGGAAAGAACGAGTTATGTTATGGTCGAGGACCAGGGTATGCATTATACTCTATTACTTTGATTTCGGATAATTTCAATCTTTGATAAGTACTATTTGGATGGTTTGATCATAATGTCATCCTTCGCTTGATGGTAGATATCCCGATGAATTTGAGAGTACGCGCATCATTGGAGAGAGACAATTTAAAAAAGCTGTTGAACTTTTCGATACAGCAACAGAGCAAGTAAAGGGCAAGATTGATTTTCGCCACACCTATGTAGACTTCTCCAATCTTGAGGTAACAGTTACAAAAGAGGGTGGTAGTACTGAAACGGTTAAAACCTGTCCTGCTGCAATGGGATTTGCATTTGCTGCCGGTACAACTGATGGACCCGGAGCATTTGATTTTAAGCAGGGCGATGACCAGGTAGTTAAAAAGATTTTTCTAGTCTATTTTACCATTATCAATCAGAGTGAATGAAGTGCTCTATGTTTGCTCATTTTACTGGAAAAATCTTCAGGGAAATGCATTTTGGAGGTTGGTGCGAAACTTGCTTAAAACACCAAGTGCTGAACAAAACAAGTGTCAACATCCCAAGCCCATTTTGCTTGATACTGGTGAAATGAAGGTGCCATATGATTGGGCAGTAAGTAGCTTCTTGCTCTGTCACTTGCTAAATATTTCCGCACGCAGAGGATCTCTGGCAACAAACAGTTATATGTTCTTCTTCCTCAAATTCCTATTGGTAGAATACTTAAATCTTTTTTTCAGGAAGAGTGTCCCGATTGAAGAAAATGTAATTCGGAATCTCAAATGTGTTTAATTACTTTGGCACAAAAGAACACATAGTTCTTAATCTATTATTCTCATTTTGAAATTTGAGGGCAAAAGTACATATTTGATTATCATTCTACCACTAGCAGTTGACAAATAAAGCCTGTACAACTTGAAATCCATAGATTTTGTTATCAAGCTTTACAATTTTCATCTCACTTTAACCATAAGTACGGGCAGATATAGATGAGAGGGAGAAATAATGGTACTCTCTGTATGTCCTGCTAATGATGAGAAGGGTTAAACTCTGTATGGTTTCTAACTGAAGAAAATAAATATTTGGACTTTGATAAAAGAGTGATTGGAAGTCTTCATCCTGCTCAACAATATGCCAATTAATGAATTGCTACCATAGAGAAGCATATGATCCATTTTCTGGCTTACTTGCCATACTTGTTTTTTTTTTTTTGGCTTCAATACATAAAATTTTAAAATCCTAATCCAAATGCATTAACCTCCTTCCACAATACTAGAAACCCTCTACATGATGTCCTGTTTATAATGTTCAATGATTGAATCTTTTGTTTTCCATTTTTGCAGCCTTCAATACTTCCTCTGCAGATTGTAAGAATAGGGCAGCTGGTCATTCTCAGCGTACCTGGAGGTATCAATCAAGACTTGTGATCTCTTTTATTTCTGGTGATTTCTTATGCATTGGCAGATTCTGAGATGTCTTCTTCTCATATCTCATATAAATTTTCCTTTTATGTTCAAAACAGAATTCACTACAATGGCAGGTAGACGCCTACGAGATGCTGTGAAGACGGTGCTCACGAGTGGGGGTACCAAGGAGTTTGGTAGCAATATTCATGTTGTGCTAGCTGGATTGACTAATACATATTCACAATACATAACCACCTTTGAGGAGTACGAGATACAGAGATATGAGGTCAGTTAAGTAGAAATTATAGTGCATTGGTTATAATATAAATGTTCCGAGAAGTCCTGTATATAATCATTGCACATTAGTATGTACCTAAGCATGTAAAACCCTCTTTTCCGTTCGATTTTCAGAGTCAAGAAAAAGAAATAAAGGGACTTTGTACCCCATAGGAAAAGGTTTTAAATACAGTCGTTCTATTACAACCTTGATATGTTCTCCCAAAAGATGTGCATATTTAAGACCAAATATTACAGGAGCTTCAGAATTTTTTCGGAAGATGTGGTTGACATTTGATTGTTTGAAAATAGCGCATTCCACTAAAGACTGTCTCTAATGGTATCTTTTGCGATGAGTTTAAGTTCAAGGCAGTAGGTAAAGTCTATGATTCTCATCTCGAACAATGAGCTAAATTATATAGTACATTCCTTTAACTTCACCTTAATGTTTCGCAAATTAAAATCTAGTTTCACCTTTTTAGTTGCAATCACTCTCTGCTGCTATCTTATTTTTCCCGTCTTTTGAGGAATACGTCAAACCCGAAATTTGTTTTTTTTTTTAATATGCTTTTCTCTTCTGAAATTAGGACTTTTGTCATGTTATGTCAATTAGTTGTCTCTTAGAACTAGCACATTTCGAATGTGCAAAGTTGCTCTATATTGTTCTTGAATAACTTTACGTGTTCTTTCTTAGGGTGCCTCTACTCTGTATGGTCCACATACACTTAGCGCTTACATCCAACAGTTCAAGACGCTAGCGTCTGCTCTTATCACAGGAAAGACCTTGCAAGCAGGTCCTCAACCCCCTGATTTGCTAGAAAAACAGATAAGTTTGTTGACACCGGTTGTAATGGATGCCACACCACTTGGTTCCAAATTTGGTGACTTAATCACCGATGTTCCACAAAGTTCGACTTTCAAGAGGGGTGACCTTGTCTCGGTTGTTTTCTGGTCAGCATGCCCCAGAAATGACCTCATGACTGAAGGTACATTTGCTCTCGTCGAGATTCTTCAAGGAAAGGACACTTGGGTTCCTGCTTATGATGACGATGACTTCTGTCTTCGGTTTATATGGTCAAGACCTGCTAAACTCAGCACTCGGAGTGAGGCAACGATCGAGTGGAGGATACCAGAGTTAGCTGCTTCAGGTGTATATAGAATCAGACATTTTGGTGCTGCAAAGGCTCTTTTGGGTTCAGTTAAGCATTTTGAAGGTTCATCTAGTGCTTTTGTTGTTGCCTGAAAAGAACCTTGATGAGTTCTATACTCATCCCAGATTATGTTGTTTTCTAAATCGTCTCGATAAATGTAGGGTAAGACTACGTGCAATAGCTTTATGGTTCGGTCCTTCCCCGAACCCATGCATAGCAGAGCTTAGTACATTGGGCTGTCCTACGTATATACCTAAATTGATGAAGTGCAAGGTCTTGTTTATATGTGTGTTATTTATAAAAATGTTATTTCCACTATCTCATTATTATTGATACTTTTTTTAAAAATATTATAAGCTCATTCTTCATATTGCTGGTGCGTGACATGATAAAATGATGAAAAATAATATCGTCAAACCAAAAATCATATTCATCAAAACAGTACGATACATTATAAAATAAATTCAAACAAAGTTTGGTTCTTTATATGTACTTAAGTGCTTCATCTTCAACAAAACCAAAGTGAGTTTAGACTTTAGAGACGGATTTAAAATTTTATATTTACGAGTACTTACGATAATACTTAATTAATCGATATTAATAATTAGATTTATAATAAAGTATTCCAGTACATATAGAGGGTATAATAATATTAAAAGAAAATAATAAATGGGAGAGCTATCGTGGTATACCATGAGTATGTTTTGCCAGCCATGATCATTTTTGGGACAAATAAAATATATCTTTAATTTCAATTAGTATATCTTTTGTTTTTTTGATTCGTTTTAAAAAGAATGTCTATCTTTTAGTAATTTTTAGTTTCAATTGATATATCTAAAATTATAAAATCATAAAATATTTTTAATTTAATATCATAAAATTTAAGTGTTCTTTTATCTTTTAAAATTTCGTATCAAATCAAAATAGCTTAATCAAATAAAATCGAGAGAGTATCTCTATAACTAAAAATAAAAAATATTCAAATTATTTTATTATATCATTGGATAATGATAGCAAATTTATTTAAGTCCTTTTAGTTCTTAAAAGTGGCAGGCACGCACACACGGACAAAGACAATGAGTACGACCTAAAACAAAAATAAATAAAATATAAAACCATCTTTTGGTGTAATAGTTCATAAATTACACAGTAAAGATAAATCGTAGTAAATAAATTTTTTATGATTACTTCTAATTAAAAAGATATGAAGAAAACAACGAATCTAAAACTCATCATTTAAATTTTTTTAGTATGATCTCTGCGTCGTATAAAGGAAGTTCAAATTTGAAACCTTCTAATTGTGAATATAAATGTTAGCTTTTTTCAATAAGTTCGCCCGAAATAACATATAAAGTATTGCGAACTTGAGATTTCAATTTGAAAAATTCTTTTTAAAAATAAAACTGCTTCAATATAATAATATGCAAAGAACACCAAAAGACAATTTTTACTAATCAAACTTCATGCAACAGACTCGACTAAAAAAATATGAATGAAGTTTCAAACTTAGACTCGTCATTTGAGAGATCTAGTGCGCGATGATCTTAATCAAGCAATTATAAAATAAAAATTCAAATCCGAAACTTTTCATTTGTGATTTGTAATGCCACCTATGTAATGATAAACTTAGACATCTCGATTTGACAACCAAATCGGCCATCCTTATCTTTAATATTTTATCAATCTTAATATTAATATTTATAAAATATTTTAAAAATAGTAACAAAAAAAAAATATTTGCTAAAAACGCGTATTATACGAGTCAGAAAAATTTGGTGGGCTGTGAGAAATAACTGAAAAACTGAACAAAAAAACAAAAAAAAAAAGTTTTTTTTTTGTTAGAGAGAGAAAAGAAGAGAGAGAGAGCTTTTTCCTTTTTTTCTCATTTTTTCCCCCTTCACCTCAACCCTCTTTCTCAGGGATGGTCGAAGAGAGGTTCCTCTTCTGAGATCATCCTGAATACAGCAGTCAACAAAAAATATTCAAAAAGAAAAAAAAGAATTTTTTTTTTGGGATTTTAATTCTACATTTCATAAAAAAATCCCACATTTTTCATTGGGTTAAATTTCTTGAATTTTTTTATCAAGAATTTGATCTCTGTTTGCTTTTTCTGGTAAATCTTTTATCTTTAGCCCCAACTTTTCGAATTTCTGTTTGATTTTTCTTGAGAATATGGTTATCTTAGGATGTTTTTTTGCTTTTTCCTAAAAAAAGATTCGATTTTTATTAATTCTTGTTGTTTGTATTTTCAGCTAAAAATTGAATCTTGGAAATTTTGAAGACTTGGGGTTTCTGCAATGATGGAGAAAACAGAGGTAATATTGCCTATATTATAGAAATGTTGAGAAAATGAGAGACCGGAGCCAGGTAGGGTCGAGGGGTTCAAAATTATGTTGTTTATATATAGTTAAAATTATTTATATATATATATATATATGTAATACATGTTGAACCCTTTGCCTTGTAGAGGTGTTTACTTCTTTATATTTTTTGGATGTTGTTAGTGAAAATCCTGGCTCTGTAGTTGACCCCATTGTAGCTAATATACATAGATTTTGTTTGTAATCTTTTTTATTTTTTTGTGTCTAGTGTAGAGTTATGCAGATAAGCAAGTGTGTTTTCGTGTGTCCGAGTGATTTTTGTTGCTCAGAGGAGAGTCATTTCATATCAAAAAGCTGGCGATTTTGTGTGAGAATTTGTTCAGAATCCTGGCTGTTGGCAAGAAATGAGGCGTAGATGGAACATTTATGGAATCAAGTTATTGTTTCTCACCATTTTGATTCTTCTTTTGGAGGTTCATGAATGTTGCACTCTGAATTCTGAAGGTAGTTACTATTCTCTAGTTTCTTTCTTTTTTACTTTTGGAGGACCATAATGTTCGCAATTCGGGCCAGCTTGCATTAATTCGACTGCTCCACTGTATATCATCTATCTCCAACCAACATAGGCATAAGTTACTATGCCTATCAAGGCTGAGGCATATGAGATGTGTTTGGCGAACAAAGTCCTACATTGGTAGCTAAAAAGATTGGAAATCTACAATTCTACATAAGGTGTAGGATCTCTTAACATGGCGTGAGGCCTTTTAAGGAAAACCGTGAGGGCGTGCCCCAAAGCGGACAACATCGCACCATGTTAAGAGTATTTTTGGGTTGACGTAGCCCAACATAATGAAAAATTACTTACTTCCTCGGTCCCATTTTATGTGGTCATGTTTCAAAATTTAAGAAAGAAAGAGATTTGTAGCTTGTAGTCTAAAACAAGTTACAGACATTTGAGTATGGGTGTAATTCGAATATTAAGATTAAATTGTTTCTAAAGTCTAAACATGATGCAATCTTTTTGTGACAAACTAAAAAGGAAACTGTGCTGCAAAAATTGAGACAGCGGAAGTCGAGTTTTTGGTCTTTGCTGGGATATGAACCTTGATCTTTCATGATTTTTTTACTCACTTAGGGCTGTGTCTTCTGTTTCTCTAGGCTGTGGGCTATGCTCTAGTTTCTTCAGTCTATTCATGTTATTGGCTTATTCTTTGTTTCGCTGATTACTTGTTGATTTGAGAAACAGGATTGTCGTTGTTTGAATTCAAATTGAATGTATATTCTGATCCAAATGGAGTTCTTGAAAACTGGAATGCTGATCACTGTGACCCGTGCATGTGGTCTGGTGTCGAGTGCCTGGATAGTAAAGTGCACATGTTGTAAGTCTCTTGTTATGGATACTCAAGTTTTCCACTTAAGATTGTTTTGTCAATAAACTTTCTCTATTGGTTAGTGTTTAGTGATTTGATTCTGGAACCAGTCTATTGAACTAATAATGATAAACCAAATGCAATAGGGTGAAATTGTTTGTTTCGACTCTTGTGATTTTTCTTATGCCGTTAAATTAGTTGACTTATCTTTTTTTCTTCATTCTGTTCAGAAATCTCCATGGATGTTCTTTGGAAGGAACACTGGCATCCGAGCTTGGAAATCTTACTCACTTGAGATCACTGTAAGCTTTAGTTATACTAATATGTTTTTTCTTTAGGCTCTTGCTCATTAAGTCTTAAATGGTAATTTTTATCTTAACCATCGTCCATACAAGGTTGTCATAATCTTTAAATAGTCTTCTATCTTCTTATGTAAATTAGGAAGAACGTAAGGGTTCGTTTGGTGTATGATGGACAAGCGTTGAGAGTCTTGGGATAAAAAATTAGTAAGGGCTTATCGCTGGTCTTGTTATTGATCCTGGGATAAGTTATATCAGGATTAGTAATTAGTATCAGTATAAGTTATTACCATCAGAGGGTGGAATAATAATACATGATAAGTTATCCTAGGATAAATAATTAAATGACAAAAATTACCCATGAAGTTCCTCAAAATCTTTTTCTACTAAATAAAGTGGATGGTGTTTTTGTAAATGAACTTCTATGAAATTTATGCATTACATATTATTTTTAATACAACAAACCAAACAATCACTAAGCAATGATACATTACCAACATAACTAATCCCAACATAACTTGTCTTCAAACTAAACAATCCCTAAGAGTTATGTTGGTCAAGTAAATTGGGAAGTACACTAAGGTGAATAAGCTTTGAATATCTACTAATCAACTTTCATCATCTTGTATTCCGCATTTACATTGTTCTCCGCATAAGTTGTGTTTGAATCTTAACAGTATTTCTTCTTGCTGTCTGATTGCTTTCACAGTGTGCTCTCAGGGAATCATTTTTTCGGTGCTATTCCTAAAGAATTCGGAAGACTTGGTATGCTGGAAGTGCTTGACTTGAGGGATAATAATCTGAGTGGAACAATTCCAGCAGAAATAGGAGACCTGCAATCACTAAGAATCTTGTGAGTTAATGATTTGTTGTGTGCATGATAAATGGTTTGTTGTGTGCAGATGGATAGATACATATGCATACACATTCATTATGCAAAGTGATTTCAAAATGCTCATCAATCGTGTTTACTTCGTTTTTCCAGGTTGATTCATAACAATAACTTTGAGGAGAGTGTTCCTTTGGAAATTGGGAAGCTTCATGTAGTCACAGAATTACAATTCGACGAAAATCTCACTTCTGCTTTTGCTTCTGGAACTCTCTGTATAAGAAAATTTCGTCATTGGTAGGATTCTTTTATTTGTTTTAGTACCCTATCTTCATATTTTTAGCTGGTTATTTGCATATCAGATGTTGGATAGTTTATCTTTGTGGCAACACACTATCTAATTGATCTATTTCATTTCTCAATTCGGTATCGTGCATGTCTTTCTCTGATACTTAGATGCCTTTTTTCTGACAGCATCTGGCAAGGCAGCATGAAACCATTCAA